CCGCTCCTGCCAACGCTTCCCCTCCTCCTCTTCCTCCTCCTCCGCCCATCACCGCCACTACGGACGCCTTCGCCTCCATCTACTCCCCGCGCCGCGGCCGTCGCTCTCCGCGCTCGCTCCGGCTTCCACCAGCCCATCGCTGCCCGCTCGCTCGGCTGCTGCAGTCGCTCTCTCTTCTCTCTCTCTCACTCGCGCTCTCTGTCGCGCTCCCTCAAGTTTCCCGTCTCCTCAGATCAGGGCAAAGGGAGGAAAACACCCGATTCTGCCTGCTGTCTCAGGTAAGGTCGCGCACGTTGGCCCCAGCAGGGACCCCGTGGCGCCTGCCTTTGCCTCGCGTGCCTGCCCCGTCTCCCCCACCCCACTCTCCGATGCTCCCTGCAACCCGAGGCGGTTCAGCTCGCCTCCTCCTCCCCAACACGTTTAAAACATAATTTCGATACTCATCACCAGAAGCGCATCTGCAACTACAATAAGATCTTAGACGCCGGCCCGCCCGCCCGGCAGGCAGCGCGTTAGCCTGGCTCTTTTATAGTCTGCAACTTTGCACACTGTGATTGCCGCTGCCTGCCTGCCGGTGCTGGATCCGGGAGCCTCACGCTCCTGCTCCGATTGTGGTCTCGGCTCCGGAACAGCTGTCCAACGCGTCGTTTCGCAGCAGTTGAGCCGAACCCGGCTGCCTCCGAGACGTGGTCTCGGGCAACTGTGCACGGGCGGGGAGGGAGCTTCTTTTATTTTATTTTCTATTATTTTAGAGGGAGCGAAGAAGTGAAGACGCGAGGGCTGCAGTTCCCTGTAACGAAAAGAATAATAATCGAAAAAAGTGGGCTGCCTCCCCCTTGCTTTCCCCGTTGGGGTTGCGGGGGTGGTCTTGGTTGAGGGGGCTGTGGCACGGGGGACCCATCTCTCCTCCTCCTTTACACTCCCCCCCTCCTCCGGACCCGTTCTCTTCTCTAGCTCCTATGTCAGTCAGTTCAGGGTCCCGTGTGTTGTTGTTACGTGTGTGTGTGTGTGTGTGTGTGAGCACAAAACAGTGTTTGCTGACGATGGGGCTGGGGGAAGTTCCTGGCAGAGCAGTCTGATTATTTGGTCATCTTACTGCCAAGATAAAAAAAAAAAAGAAAGAAAGAAAGAAAGAAAAGACTCTCGCCCCCCCCCCAACCCATTCATCACACCCCACACTGCTCCAGTGGAATAATTCAATAGCTTTAACTCCAGTTCTCACACCAATTGACATTCTTTTGGGCTTTCTGGGACTGAATGTAATTTTAAGTGTATTTTTTTTTTCCATGGCTTTCCAAAGAGCGGCAATGAAGACGAAATTAAACACCTACAACATGCATTTGCTTCTTCTTGTTTTCTTGGTGTGGGACCCAGCCAGGTGAGACATTTATTTATTGTATTTGACTTTTTAGATTCAGGGTAAAGGTGTGTTTCTTGAATGTCATCAATGCAGGGCTGGCCTTTGAGAAGCCGAAGTATTTTGAAGAATCAATTCTAATGAAGGGGAGAAAAAAAAAAAGCTTGTATCAAGAAATTGAACTATGAAGTGGGAGAGACTATCAAAAGTTCACTGCTTCTGGATTTTAGTGATAAAATACGCTAGTGATCAGGAACATTTTCTTACAAAAAGAAAAGAAAATCACCAAAGAAAAGAATATCTTTTGGATGGCATATTCTTGCAAGTTTTGAAGTGGTTAAGTTGTATGCGTTTATAATGACACCAACATTCAATAAAGAAGCCAACAGTGTTTCTTTAAGCCAAACAGAAAAGCAGAAGCTAAAATGGTTTGGTTGTTAAGTTGATTTTTTTTTCCTTCCTTTCTTCCTTCTTTCCTTTCTTCCTTCCTTCCTTCCTTCCTTCCTTCCTTCCTTCCTTCCTTCCTTCCTTTTTTTCTTTTCTTTCTTCCTTCTTCTTCTTTTTTTTTTTTAGTGGTCTATGCTCTTTAGTCAACATAGAAAATCCAAAGGATGTGTGAGTCTTTAACCTCTAGGTAGAAGTAGTATACAACTTCACAATTACAAACAATAAAACAAAGCTTGATTTATTCATCAACTTTTCATATTACTGATTTAGAGATCTTTTATTGCTAAAGTGGTCACTGTCATAAACAGTACTTATTTTAAACATGTAACTAATTTTGCTTTGCCTGTGTTCTACAAACATAAAATGAATTCTTATTGCTTTCCATAACATCATCTTAGTTGTAGTCTTTTCTGATTTTGTATTATCAATGGGCATTTTTTATTTTGTCTAAACTTAGGATATGATTTTCAAAATATTAGAGGGCTTGAAATGTAAATGATAAGAATGTTCATCTAATCATTCCTTTTAAAAAATAATATCTTTATTATATCTTTATTTGCCTTTTAATTTTTCATTTTCCTGTCAAGTAATTGTCAAAGAATGAAAATATTTTGTGGAATTGAGAAGAAATCTCTTCATAAAGGCTTATTTTTAGTTTGAAAGTAGCTCCTCATTTAACATCTTAATACTGAATTTAGAAAAAGAATTTGACATATGATTAAATACCACTTTTCAGTGAAAACCTCTGTGTGGAACTTTACAATTATTGTAGTGATTGGTTTTAGAATTAGCTTAAGGTAACATAGAAACTTTTGATGCTGGAGTTTTGATAAACTCGTTTGCTGACATAATTTTTAAATGTTTACCTGTATATCGGTGTTTCAGTATTTTCTGTGCTCTCAAGACAATATTTGTTTGAAGTTGGTTACCAATTTTTTAATGTGTTATGACTGTTTCTAGCTGTGTAATCATTTAAATACAAATTGACTCTGTCAATGATACTTTACACGGTACACCTTGATCAGACAGCTCTCACATATAGTCTTTGATTTTGAAGGAGTGAACCTACCATGGTCAATTAGTAATCACTGAAGGTCCTCAGTGCTTAACCATTATTTCCCTCTACTAGTTTTCTGTTCTATATTTGACCAGTAATGCTCATGCCAGTATTTTATTCTATTATATAAATGATTCTTTTTTGGGGCCAGTAATTTAAATCTCTGAATCATTCTAGGGGAAAAAAATGGCAGTGAAAAGGGACATTCTGTTTTATGCGCCAAATTGCTGGATGTCACAAAATCAGGTCTCTGGCTTTCTGATGGAGAAATAATGGAGAAAATCACTGTTTCGAACCCTTTTCTGGTGATATTTTAAGACCATTTGTTTTCTCTGCAAATTTATCACACACACACACACACGCACACACACGCACACACACAAGTAGCAAGATTTTTAATCTTTAGGTAACCCTGAGTGCTCTCCTCAGAGACCAGTCAGGAGGGGTATGCCTCCAGGGTTGTCTGTACCCCTGTATGTGCCCCTGCTCCTTTCAGAGCCCACTTCCACCACCTGGCTACAGTGGAGCCTGGAACACAGCCAATGGAGTTTCCCTGATGTCTATATTGCACTTGGCCATTGGGTGGCGGTATACCCAAAGTAAGGAAATAATCTCTGTTTGAAAGAGAAAAACGACATAAAGAAAAAAGGAAAGGCACTTATGAGGAAGATAGAGAAATTTTCTGCCTCCAAGGAGGCAATTTATTCTCCAATTAATATTCAAATCGCTGCAGTAGTATTTCAGGAGTCGTTTTGTTATTGTACCTTTCTTAATGCAGAGTCACATGACTAACAGTGTCAGCATGTGGCCATCTACAGTCATAATATATTCTAGGGGACGGATTCTAGAAAATGAATATTCCACACTGGGTGCTAAGTGGCAGAAACCTGAAATAAGTTTGACGTCAATCTTTCTGATAATCTAGTATTTAGTATCCGTTTTCAACAACATATTTATCTTCTCCATAGACATGCTGGTATTTATAGAAGTGACCAGAGAAGGAAAATGGGTGGCCCCAATAGCTTAGAGAGACTTAAAATTCAAATCAAGGAAGTAGAGCATGTTGGTACTGGTACAACACACATACGTATATATATGTATATATATATATGTACATATATATATATATATCAGCTTCTAAAATTATCTGTTTAGGTTGGTGCTGGCTAACATCCAAGAAGATGAAGCTAAAAATAACATTACCATCTTTACAAGAATTCTAGACAGACTTCTGGATGGTTACGATAATCGGCTTAGACCAGGACTGGGAGGTAAAAGTAGTTTTACTTTTTTTAAACTCTTACAAAATAATGCTTCTAAAAGTTAAGAGTAATATACATATTTTAATACACTCTATATATGAATGCATGTATTAAATAACTGAATAATAGAAAGTAAGGTATATGAAATAAACATTATTTGTGTTTCTTTTCTACACACACAATGTGTTTAACATATTTTTGTAGAATGCCTGAAGTCATATAGAGCCTAGACTTTCTGCATGAGGTTTTTAAATTAGTTTATATATAATGGCTAAGTTTTTAAAACTTAAAGTATATTAAAATGAAACATTGTCGGGCAGACATGCTCGTGTAGTATCTTCACATTTTACAGACGTTTATTTTCACAGCAGTACAGATATGAAGAAATGAGGCACATAATAAAAAGTATGTTAGGGTTATATTTTAACAAATACACAACTTAGGATTCTATGATGATATTTCTTTATCCATGCTTATGGTATTTCTAAAGTACAGCACAGGTTTGGCGTTCTTGAAACTCTCAAAGACATTTCAGGTATACATTGGCTGTAGGCCTAAGTTTATTGGACTGGCATAGTTTGATTTCAGATTTAAACATTAACTTTCAATTGAGAAAAACAAATCTGTTTTAATCCATAAAGATAAAGGAAATTAGGCTTGGCTAATATATTAATTTTTTAAAATATGTTAAATTTTAATTAACTTCTGTTTATCCTTAGGTGATACTAAGGAAATTAGGTAAAAGTAAAGTAGGTATGTAATTTCTAAAGGATTCTGACTCAAAATATTGTTACTCTTCAATTATACATACACACATTTCACACGTGTATGTTATACTTATTTGGATGTTCAGGTTAACCGTTAATTAAAAATAAAGGAAAATTAGTCGGACAATTGGTACTAATCAAAGATTTATATAGTCATATAGTTAGCTAGTTTATTATGAGGCTGACAAGTTTGTAATATTAAATTGCTTGTAAAGATGCATATTGATTAATGCCTAGGTGTTTATGTAAATACTTTCTTTGAAAAATCTAGGTTGTTGTTAATTCTATGTATATTTGCCGGTGTATGGTTTGGATTGTCCAAGAGTCAGAAAAAGTCAGGAAAGACCCAACTTGTTGTTAAGTAGTATACTATTTAATGCAGTTAATTTTTCTTGGAATCCCTGAGAGGTACCTCTCATTTTAGGAGAAGTACAGGGAGGAATAATGTTCAGAAATAAGGCCTATTGTATTTTTCAGAGCAAACTCAGTTGTTTACTATACACTTGGTTTTCTAAAAGGAAAAAAAAAAAACTAAAAGGAAAATAATGCTTCTTTAGTAATTAATATATCTAATGAGCATGAATATAAGGAATCAGTCTCCATGTTAGCATATGAAAATGAACTATTGCCAAGTGTAAGGGTATCCTAATTCAGGATGGTGGTTTATGAGGAAGATTACACTAAGGCAGACGTTTGTCCTAAATCATAGATTTTATTTTTTAAAATAAATTATGTGCTGTCAAAAATCTCAATATTTGAGCAAGACCTTGAGTTTTGTCTCTGTGAGTTCTTAGGGGAAATATCTACCTTGTGGGTGTGTGGTTGGGGAGTAGAAACTACCTGTTTCAGGACGTGGCTATTGCCACTTAGCTCTTCATATTTTTTTCTGTAATATCTCTTACATTCTTTTTTACTTCCATTGTCACCACTGAAGCATAGATCCTTGTCACTGTATTATTTGCATTATTGCAATAGACTAAGCGGCTCTTCTTGTCTAGGGTCTTCCTCAATCCTTCTCTGATATTGGGCATATGCTAATATCTCCCATTCAGATAGTTTTCTTTTATTCTTACAATGCTTTCCACATATCCCTCTCTTTTCTTGATCATCTTTTCTTGATCCCCCATGTTTTCTGCACCAGATCAACTGTTTTTCATCTAAAAGGGCCATGACACAGCTACCTTTCTGCCTTACAGGATTGTTGAGAGAATTCTATAAACAAAAAGTACATACAAAGCCGGTGCCCCATAGTAGGAATTCAACAAAGATCTAGTTCGTCCCTCCTCCCTTAGATTCCTAGTTTGCCAAGTAAGGTTTTCTACATTCTACTTCCTGGCTTCGTTTGTATTTTGCCTCCCTTTCATCCTGCACTTCGGATGCATTTGTTCATCTTCTCTTGATAATCCATTCACATCTGTTCCCTTGGCCTTTGGTCGTATTATTTCCTCTCACTGGAAGTGTTTTTCTCATCATCTTTGATGATCGAAACCCTTTTTCTATAAAGACCACCTCAACACTGGTCCTCTTGTAAAGATCTTTCTTAAGTGAATTGAAACACCCAGATTCAATTTTCTCTCTGTTGAATTTCTTTAGCAGTTGTTGGCTCTATATCTCATCTGGAACTTATTATGTGCTATCTTGGATTATTTATTACCTTTTTGTGTGCCTCTTGTTACCTTAACAAGATTGTAAGCTCGTTGAGGCAAGACATTGTCTCATAAATCCTCTATGCTCTCAGCAACTAAATATTGATTTGCATATTGTGGCCATCAAATAAATGTTGATTGTTTGACTAACTTTTCTACGACCAGTTCATCATCTGTAAAATGGGGTTATCCATATTTGGCCGACCTTTTGATTAGGAATGTTGAGTAATATGTTGGGCAGCATGCTACAGGAAGGTAACGAGGCTTAGTTAAGACCTAGCTTTAGATTTTGGAGATTTAGGTAAAATCCCAGCTCTGGTCCTGAGCGGTCCAATGACCTTTCAATACTTTGCCTCTTTAGGTCCACATCTGTCACTATAGAGTGTGATTACTCATACTGTTCTTACAGCATTTGATGAATATTAAGTACGATGATATATGCTAAGAAGTTAGCACAGTGCCTGGCATATGGTAGAGAATTAATAAATAACAGTACCTAAAAGACTTTCAGAAACTTTCTAAATGTACTGTTGTAAATTTACATCATTATTGTGATTACTTCTACATCCAAAATTCTTCTCCTGCTTGTCCATATGTCATTTCACATAGAAAGTCCAAGGAAATTACTTGTGTCATTATGTCCCAGAAATTAATAAGAAGGAAAATATGGGTTTGATTCAATTTTAATATATCAAACAGAACATCTCTATTGATGAAAAATTGGATAATTAATTTCAATTATCATTTCTTTCCTTTATAACTAATACAAATCGCTATATAGGAAAGCACACTCGGTTTTGGACTGTGAGTTAAAAAAAAATTGTTCTTTTCACTTGGCTTGACCACTTACTAGATTTTACCCTGGCCAAGTTCCTTAGACATTCTGAGCCTTGGGATTTCCCTTGGGAAAATGGAAATAATGGTTTTTTATGCTGAAAGGAGGAAGGTAAATTGAGATTCATATATATGATGAAGATCATACAATCCATTGGGTGAATGAAAGAGGCACCTGGGTGCTTCAGTCGGTTAAGTGTCTGGCTCTTGATTTCAGCTCAGGTCATGCATGATCTGGTGGTTCATGAGATCGAGCCCCACATGGGGCTCTGCACTGACAGAGTGGTGCCTGCTTGGGATTCTCTCTCTCTCTGTCTCTCTCCCTCTCTCTCTGTCTCTTCCCTGCTTGTGCTGTCTCTCTCTCTCTCTCTCTCAAAATAAATAAACATGAAAAAAAATTAAAAATACATTGAGTGATAAAATTTTAAGATATTTTATGATTAATAATGGAGTTTCTTTAAAATTTAAGTTGTATCATGCCATTCAACTGCTCAAAATTCTGCAATCGTTTCTACTTCATTCAGAATAAAAATTGGGTTTCTTGTGGTGGTCTCCAAGGCCGTGCATGATGATCTGTCTCCTTATTCTTTCTTTGACCTCACAACAACTCACCTTCTTGCTCATCCTGCTGCAGTCACATTGGTTTCCTTTCTGTTCTTTGAACACACCAGGATACTCTTTGGAGCTTTTCCTCTGACTATTCTCTCTTCCCTGGGTATCCTTTGATCTCTCCTCCTCAATGAGGCCTACCCTGACCAAACAAATAAATACTATAACCTGGCTACCTCTTAATAATTCTAATCTCCCTTAACCAGCTTATTTTTCCCCTTATTTTAATATATAGAATAATTTATTTCTTTATTACTTTAGTGGCAATTGCTTATTTTTGTCTCTTTTGCTAGAATGTAGGCTCATTGAGGTCAGGGATTCTTGTCTATTTTGTCGCTTTATTCACTGGTGCATCATCTGTTCCCAGCATCTAGAACAGGACCTGGCATATAGTAAGCACTGAAATATTTCTTGAAGGATTTTAATTTTATTCATGTATTTTATTATCATTATTATTATCATCATCATCATTATTATTATTATTTACTGTGCTGCCATGAAAAGAATCAACTATAGAACTCACCTTATCCTTAAAATTGGTGGAGGAGTTCTCATTTAATTCACACACTGACCTTCCATTATTAGCATCAGCATATTTTGGGATGACATCTTGGTGAATTAGAGCTATTATAACCCCAGTTAACTCAAATCCTGACTTATGTTAGTTGTGATTCTGCCTTTGAACTGTGTGATTTGGGGTGATTCATTTATCCCACATGTGACTTAATTTACTCATCTATGAAATGGCAAGAGAGGATCCACTTATTCTGTTTATATCTCACAGAAATATGATGTGGTTCAAGTAAATTAAAATTCTTAAGAGAGCGTAATGTGACATACAATTGATAAGTGTTAGTGTTGCTAGGAGTAAGAGGAGAACTCTTCAAGAAAAACATCTTAGGAGGTAGTGTTCTTTGAAAACGTGCCAAGGAAATATTGGTAGTTCTTGTACATTTGGTAGGCTTACTTCTTTGTGAGCCTGGAAACCTGAGATGGGTTTGCCTTGATATCTTATCTGTTGAGACCATGCATTTAGAGTAGCTAGAACTAATAACTGAATCAGTTTTTCCTCTTCATTTTAGTCATTAGAGCTAACAACTTGGAGTATAACACATATATTTTTATATTCCATAAGAAGCTTTCAAACTGTTAA